ACATTTCCAAAACAATTTATTTCTTTACTAAAAAGAAAAAAGAGCGAAGAATACGTATCAGCATCATTTTCCAGAGAAGACCAAGAAAACGGAATTAAGGACATACTCTTTACTTTCTTTCACCTGCCATGTGTTGTGTTCTTGGCTTTTAGCTAAACATGCTCTCTGCCAGGAAGCTGTCAGGAGTTTGCAGAGCCATCAGATTCCATCATTGCAGATCCCCTTCTGTATCCAGAACCTCTCCAAACTTGGCTTTCGTGCCAGCCTGTCTTCCCCCAGATCCTGTGCAAGTAGAGGAGCTGCAGCACTTTGTTTCTAACTCCAAGAGGCTGTTTGTGATGACTGGAGCCGGAATCTCGACTGAATCGGGGATCCCAGATTACCGCTCTGAAGGTGTCGGGCTCTACGCCAGGACAGACAGGCGACCCATCCAGCATGCCGAGTTCGTTCGTAGCGCCAGTGCCCGGCAGCGGTACTGGGCAAGGAACTTTGTGGGCTGGCCCCAGTTCTCCTCCCACCAGCCGAACACAGCACACCTGGTACTAAGAGACTGGGAGAAGCTGGGGAAGCTGCACTGGCTGGTGACCCAGAACGTGGATGCCCTTCACACCAAAGCTGGGAGCCAGCGCATGACAGAACTGCACGGCTGCATACACAGGTACTCTCTGTTGGCAGAGGGAGGATGGTTAATCCTCGGGTCTCTCGTTCAGGGTGACTGACAAGCAGGTGCAGTGTTAGCTGTTGAGAAAGGTGGCAAAATGTCAATGCTGTGTTCCTGGAGGTGACATGCTCAAAGGTGATGTTTGGCTGGGGTGGAGAAAAAGATCACAAGACAGTGCTGTTCACAGCACAGTATTTAAGAAAAATGAACACCACCCCATTTTTGTGGAGCATTATTTGGATCATTTCCCTTGGAGCCTGAATCAGTCATAATTTCCCCTTTCCTTGCCACAGCAAAGGTCCTCTTAGTGAAGAGGACAAGGGTATCCGGAAGATGCAAGGATTATCCAGGGATGAGCAGAGTGGATAGTGCCAGAAAGGCACAGGATGAGTGGACTGGAGAAGGGCCATCACAGCCTGGCTGTGATCAGCCAAAGTTTCCAGATGAAAAAGCACAGCCTGAACTGGGAGGGAGGACGCACTGTGGGGTTCAAAGCACTTCCTCTAGAGCATTCCTGACAGAGGTAGAAAGGCAGCTCCTTGACCTGTACTATTTGGTAAATAAATGTGGATAATGACAACAGACCTTCCAGACCTTCTAAGGAACAAGTTACAGACTCCAGCTGACATGAAACTCTCCATTAAGACTTCGCTCTGAATTTCAGGGTTTTCTGCCTGGCCTGTGGAGACCAAATCTTGCGCTCTGAGCTTCAGGAGCACTTTGAAGCTCTGAATCCTACCTGGAAAGCTGAAGCATTCGGTGTGGCTCCGGATGGGGATGTCTTCCTGACGGATGAGCAGGTGCATGATTTCCAAGTCCCAGCCTGCCGTAAATGTGGGGGAATCCTGAAGCCTGACGTGACATTCTTTGGAGACACAGTGAGCCGGGAAAAAGTGAATTTTGTGCACGAGCGCCTGGCAGAATCAGACTCCGTGCTGGTGGCAGGATCCTCTATGCAGGTAAGTAGGTCTTCCTCCCACACTGCATTCCTATTTCTGTGCTACTCTGCCTGCTACAATCCTTGATCCCACAATTTGGGACTACTAATTGCTTGTGGACCAGAACAGCCTCTCCAGAGCTTATTTCTATTTTATTTTTACTGTGGCTGGAATCTGGCTTCACGGTTGGCCTGTTTGGGCTTCCCTGTCACTCTAGTGCCAGTCTACTTCATGCTGCTATAAATAACTCCATCCAGATCTCTCTTTGCTACCTCCTCCATCAGTACGTTGTAGGTTCACAGTTTCCCATAAAGCCAAGATACCTGATACAATTCAGTCCTGCAGAAATCACCACCCCACATTTTTTTGATTGATTTTTTTTTTTAGCTTTGGCAGCTTTCCAGGCCTCATGGCATACTGTGTGAAATACCAGATTTTAGGACCTCTAATTCCTAATTAAATTCTCAATAAGAGAGCAGAAATATCTCTACTTGCTGCTTGGGATTGTCCTTTGTATCACAACGTGTTTTCTCCATTAGCCTCTTATCTATAAGGTAAGGTAGTTTAGAAGTTCCTGTTGTTTAACCCGCGGTAGCCTTTGGAATAGAGTTTGTATAAGAGAAATTCTTCCAGGAACAAGCTCTATTACATTAAAAAAACCTACTCTCAACGCCTCCCAGAATGAGATAAAACCAAGGCTGCCTGATTGTGATTCTCTTGGCTTCAGGATACAGGAGATAAATTCCTTGAGCTTGCGCTTCTTAAGCTTATAATCCTTTGTACAGGAATGATTGAAATGCCTTAGGTTCATTCTTGTACTACCCAAGATGGGCCATGTGAGAACCATCAAAGTAGAAGCATTTAAGTACCTATGATAACTAATAAAAACTGCTGCAGAGATTTACTAAGACAAGGGCATTTCCCTTCAATGTACTATGACGTTTCAGTTTCTATGAAACTGCAAATCCTTCACTGACAGAGGTTAAAACCTGTTCTTTTCTGTGCACTCCTGAATGAGGAAATGTCCTACCCGAATTCAGTGCAGTTACCTAACACAGCGTGTACATACAGACTCTTTTCCCCCTGCCGACAGCAACCAACTTCCCTTTTTCTGCAGCTCTTCTTTTGCCTCAGCTGCCAGTAAGTTTGTCTCCTGGTATTCCTGCAGGTATACTCTGGTTACAGGTTTGCTCTTGCTGCCCGGGAGAAGCAGCTGCCAATTGCGATCCTTAACATTGGGCCCACAAGGTTAGATCACTTTGCGTCCTTAAAACTGAATTCCCGCTGTGGCGAGCTGCTGCCTTTGATTGTTGCACATGACCCAACAAGCTGAGCTTCAGTAGCCATCAGGAGTAAAAGGTGAGTACCTTCCCTGGTCAGTCACCTCACAGGGTGAGAAAGAAGATGGGTTCCCGTCAAATGTCGAGACTGAGATGTGCTGACTGAAAGTATGTTCCCACAATGTGCACTAAAACGTGGCTGTAAATTTTGATCTGTAACTGGTATGCCCTGATAGGCCATGATACCTTTGCCCATGATCGTAAACAAAAAGCATACTAACGCTCCCAGACAATTGGGCAGGAGCAGCCAGCAGGAGGTAGTGTTGAGTTCCGGGCCATCCGTGGCAATCGGAAGGCTACAGGGGATCACTTGCAGGTTTAGGGAACCTGATCAACACTGTTGCCTCTGCGACTGACAGTTCAAAAGCTGTGCCTGGTTGAATTGATCCAGCTAATCCTAATCAAAACACTGCTGTTTAAAATAATCAATTCCATCTATAAAGCAGCTTCTTCCCTCCACTCCTGCAGGACTCACCATATCAAAAGGGGAAAATCTCAATCTGAGGCATCTATGAGATCCAGTGACACCCTGAGGACACCAGGAGAGGGCAGCAAGCCTCGCACATGTCAACCTGACCAGTTTCCTCCATCAAAACCATCTCCACTTACCAGGAAACAGGATGATGCAGAAAAAAGTACTTTTCTGCCTACCTTGCCATTGTAAACAGTGCCTTTTCTTTTCATTCACTGGGGCAGGATAATCAGACTACCATATCTGAGAACAAAATACTTTCCTTTTAATTGTCCCCAGAGAAGAATGAGGAACAGGGATTTTGACCAAGAAACTTGAGGCTATAGCACAGGAAGGCGATGTGGAAAACCATGGTATCTGCTGGAGGATCCAAAACCACCAGCAGGCAACTGTGGAGTGTGCAAAGAGGAAAAGGAGGCAAGAAGAAGTGTAGTTGTCATTTAAAAAAAAAAAAAAAGTTTCAAAATAGAAGCTGAACAAGAATACTGTTCTTGTAAGAGATTATTTGAAAGCACAGACTGTAAGGCTGACATCTTCCAGCAAGGAGGGGAAGTCAGCATTTCTCTTGACTGTCAGTTGACAAGCTAAACTGCTTACTATCTGAACCCTTTAAAATGTATATTGTTGAGATGCCAGAGGAGTTACTTGAAGCTAATCTGACCAGCACTGCTTTCAGTGTGACTGCTACATTTTCCAGAATGCATTTTTGAAGATGTTATTTAATTAATAAATAGCTAAGTAGTGAATTAAAATTGTTTACAAGATTGATACTATTTGCATTGTAATTTCCTCTCCCTCCTATGATTTATTTAAGTACAGCCTCAACAGCCAGTTTAGATTCATTTTTCCATTGCAAAAATGCAGGATGTAATTACTAACAGCTGATGAACTAAGAGAGAAATACAATTAAATCTGTACAATGGGTCTCCCTCAGGAGGTAATCTCAAGCTATTAATAGATGTAATTTTCCACACTCCTAACAGGAGATCCATCACTACTGGGTAACCATTTTTTGTTGATCCTGAGGGTGGTAACATAAAGCATATTAAACCATCTATGGAGTAAAAGACAGAGTCTTGCCCAGACTACAGCACTAATTTTGACCCGACCTTCTGCATGAATATACCGCTCCCCTTGTGGCTATGAGGGATGTTAATTGTTGGAGTCTTCCAAATGCCCCAGTCCTGCCCTTCCCATAACATGTCCTGCATTAGTATTTTGACAAGAGCTGTAACATGCAGTTGGAAGCAAGGATGCCAGAGTCATCTCCTAAAAGGTCAAGTAGCAAAGCAAGGACAACTGACCACGTGATGCAAAGTTCTTTTTTGCTTTGTTGTTCATTCAAAGCCATGCCAGGCAGGAGCAAGTAAAGCACAGAATTTAAGGAATACTTAAGCACCCAGCTTCTGCAGAAGGTGGAAGGTATTAAGGCATTTCAAGATTTGGCTATTACAGGTCAGAGGAGAGTCAGCTTCACTTAGAAGCCAAGTGAAATAAGTTCAGGACCCTTGCCTGCATTCTCCCCTCATTTAATGGAGATCCCACTCACCAGCGAGTTAGGTATCTGCTGTTTGGTAGTGAAGAAAGCTCACAGCTGTCACTCCATTTTTAGCATAGCACAGCTGTCCTGCTAACCAAAGCTTTTGCAGGAATCATTGCTAAGGCATAGCAGAGTCTCCACACACAGCCAGGGAGCTCGCACAGAGTGTTTATTTGCGTAAGTTTTTCCATGCAAGATGATGACATTTATGGCTCCTTAGCAGAGGAACTGGCGCTGAGTTCCTCAGTATCCATGTAAACCTCTGCACCACCTTGAAACTTGCATGACCCAGGTGTGATAAAAACAGAGGCTGCAGGTTTAGTGCCAGAAGAGTCAGCATTTTGAGAAGCTGTGGGACCATTGCCAAGAAGTCTAAACCAAGAAAACATTTCCAGTGAGGACTTGGCATTAGCAATGTGACAGGTAACTAAGCCTCCCACATCTATCCCTGCCTCTTCTCCAGTTCAGCAGCTGAGCTGTGGGAGAGGAATAAGGGTGTCTCTTCAGTGTCACTACTAAATGAGTCATGCTACCCTGACCCTCCACTGATTACACTATATACTTTTAAGTCACTAGGACAATGACTTACAGTAAATTAACATTACAGTAAATTTCCTGTGCATGGTTTATGACTATATGTTAATGAGCATACATACATACAATATACATACAACAAGTATATGAGGCTGAGACAAAGGAGTTCCTTTTTTTTTATTTCTGCTAAGCTGGTCCAGCACTACTAAAATTTACTGCTGTTAGAGCAGGATCAGAGCACTTCACCTCTGAACATGCTCGCCAAGACACCATTGAGAGGTAAGTTTGCTCAACTGAGAAATGCTAGAGAAAGCCTAAATTTCTTACACCAAAAGCCAGATCTGCATCACTCCAGCGCTGATTGACACCTTCCCCTGTCACTCCTTGGAGACTGTTTGTGTGGGAAGATGCAATGCAGAGAGACAACAGCTATCAGAAGATAACTATGTCATTGCAGGTATCTAGCAAAGACCTATCCTGAGAAGTTCATGTTTCGCTTACTGAGGTAGTTACCAGCCTGGAGAGAGTCAGAGAAACCTCCAGGGCTGAGCACTATAGGATGCAGATTAGCCGTGCTGTGGGAAACCAACAAACTCAGTAAAAGAACTGACCTAGCATTCCGCTTTATTCTCTCAGCCTATGCAGAATTTGCAAGGGAGGAGGGTTTTAAAAGGGGAAGAAATATTGTTCCTAAAAGACTAAACAAAAGCATGGTAATCTTTGTGTTACTGGCTGAAACTAACAGAAAAACTGTTGCAGAGCCTGAGCAGTGTTCTCTTCCCCCATCACCAGGAAGGAAATGCAGATCCCTTCTATCTTGCCTGCTTTAAGCCAGCCTTATCCTCCACATGATTCAATCCCCTCCTACCTTTTCTAGCTCACTGGTGGACCAGTCCAGCACTTGAAGTTGTAGCTCTGTCCACCTATGAGTGGCAAAAGTACACAGACAACAGCACAAGGACAGGTTTTTACCATTAAACTAGCTGAATCGACAGCTTATGCTCTTCCCTTTTTCTTACAGCTGTTCCTACTAGGACAAGCTCCTGAGGTTTGGATAGAGGAGCTGAGAGTGCCTTATAGTGGATTTTTTTGCTGCTCCTCTGAAAGTGGGGCTGGAGTTACCCAAAGCAAATAAAAGCTACTTCCTATTTGGCAGGTCTGGTCTTTGTTTCTGGGCAAATTCACAGAGCAAACTCTTTATTAGAGTCCTGCAGTCTGAGAAAGATATTTCACGTCCTGTGCTCCAGTGAGGGCAGCACAGACTGCAGATGGCCCAGAGGACTTGTGCCGGGTGGGTATGGTGTAAGTGCAGCTTTCCACATCTTACAGTCAGTGCTTACTGACAACTTCTGGAAAAGGACTGGAGACCCTGGAAATGGTGAACTTGGGAGGTTCAGGAACCCTGGAGTGAAGGTGACTAAATCTGCCCTCTCGAGTGTGCTATGTCCCCTGTGACTGCCTTGGATATCACCCTTTCCCAGTCTTTGCAGATGTGAAGGGGGGGGGGGTGTGTGTATTATTTCCAACTAGTGCGAACTTACTGGTTTCCTTCAGTCAAAACCTGGGGCTTGGGCAGGACAGGTGGAGCCTTTCTCTCACATAACCTGTCCTAAGGGAGCCCCAGGTAAACAGCAACTGAAAGCAACAGTTCTAAGAGGCTGTCTAGAGTCAATGGGAAAGGAATGAGAAGGGTCTCAGGCAAATGCCTGAAGACAGAGTTTCTTATCTCTACACCCAGCCATTCTCTATGGCGTCTCAGTGCAGGGTTTTTAAGATCTGAATTAACTTGGCCTTACCCATCTTGTCTGTAGATTACAGAAAAGATAATAGTGGTGAGACAGTACATTTCCAATATAGGACTTTGCCTCCCCAGTCCTACTGGTCTGGCCATTTTCATCACTGAGAGATACTGTGAAAATTTCTTTCACATGCCAGATTCCTCCTGGCTGATGCTTTCTTTCCGTAGGGACAGGAAATTCTGGTACATGGGCTGTTAAACAGCTTCAATTTGTTTAGTTGGAGCCTTAAAAAGAGAGGCAGATGATGCCTTTGGAATAACACCACAAAGGAGCCCATTAATCCTTTTCCTCCTATCGTATTGGTTCTGCAAGCTTTTCTAACAGCAGTGGTCCCCAACAGGGGCTGTACAGCTGAGTGCTCTGACACCTATGCGCCCAAGTCCTGAGGGATACAGGAAATCATGCAGGGGACACAGATGGACAATGAGAAAATCATACCCACTCACCCTGACAGGACAATTAGGCAAGCAGGTAACAATTACTAAGGCTAAAAATAAGAGAAGGCAGGGGGCAAGGGCAGAGGGAAGAAAAAGCATTTTGTTTTAGAGGGCCTCATGATACAGAGCTGTGACTTTTACACAGTACAGGCAAGCGGTTTGGAGCGAATGACCGAGGAGCTGCTTGCCCTTGCCAAGACCCAGACAACATATGCAGCTTCAGCATATGCAAATCAGAAATGGTGCCTTTTTGCTAATAAAAGAGGATTTCTGGGACATTCTGCTACTCCTTTATCAGAAGACTCTTGCAAAAAAAAGAAACATATAGAAAAATTTGGACACACGCTGCATCCAGATTTCCAGTGTGATCCAACATCTTCACATTGGCAAGGGGCAAGGAGAAGAAAATCCAACTAGACTCTGTAATTCTAAAGACTGAATGTCTGCAACAAGTCAATCTGAACCCCAGAGTTCATAGTCTGACACAAACTGCTGCTGGTGGGAGGGCAGCAGCGCTTGGCTTCTCACTCAAGCAGGTAGCATATGACAAAAATCAGATTATACCCTCCCCTATTTAGCATTTGGCACGGCAGACCTTAATTAGGTTTAACAATCAACTCCTGTGCCTGTGCACAGAACTGACCACGGGTGCAGTGAGGCTCCTCATCCCTCTGTGCACCTACTACTTCTGCAATAAAGAAGCTGTGCCTGCAGGTAAGGAAAGCTACAGGATCCTCAGGAAATTGAGGCTATCACGCAAGCAGGATTAAGGCTGCCTTCGCACTGAGATGAGTCCCTTTGTTGCTAGGGGAAAACAGCATTGGAGCCGAGACAAGAAGCAAACGCTTTTTGATGCATTTTCACAGCTTAGCATGAAGGGGAGTAATAACTTCCATTTATCAAGTTGCACGCAGCCAAAT